AGCAATAATGGCAGAGGGTATATTCCGGGTGCCCAAACCAGCAAGAGCACCACCACCGACATCCAGGGACCTGATAATCCAATTCCATAATGGAAAAGATAAAGCAGCTGTAACGAATGCGCTGAAGAACAACTCACCATACGCTTTCGAAGACATGTCACTGACATTTTTCACAGACCTAAGCGGCAACACTCTGGCATGGCGCAGAGAACTGAGACCGCTCACCTCTCTTCTCCAACAGCATAAGATAAGCTATCGCTGGCGCCCTTCCCGATCACTGTCCATCACCCATGGAGATACAACCTACGTCGTTCGAGACCTCCAAGAAGCCACCACGACCCTGCAGCACTTGGGAATTAGCCAACACTCCCTTAACGGAGACTCCCAGAACACAGCACATAACCCAACCCATAGCTGGAACCCAGGGACATCTATGGACTTTGTGCCCAGACAGGCTACACAGAATGCATCCACCAGAGACAAACCTAGACCTCAAACGGGATTACCACTTACAGCTCAGGAACGGGACTCCCGCACTTAAGCAGTCATATCCCCGCAAGACCACACTCTTTCAACAGCGGTGCCAGAGTAATACTGAGCCGGGACTGGGGCATCAGCTGACACTTCGGCCATGGACTTTGCACCTACCTGACACAACGAAACCATAAGGCTATAGCATATTATTTTAATCTATCGCTGGAATTATTAATATTGTTAATCTGATGTTTATTGGGACAACGTTTTCATAGATTACTATTGTGTCCTAGCTGGTTGCAAAATTTGCTACTCTGTCATTAAACATAGGACACACTCAGTACACACAGGCCATAGATTGACCGTAACTGAGGTGTATTTCCGCCTTAAAATATACTCCCGCACACAGTCAACTGACAACAACGAGCACACAGGTGAAAGACGCACTAAGTCCCTACCTAGCACACCATATGAGCATAGACCAACCCAAGCCTGTACACGTAAATAGATGTTCAACTTGTAAACATTTAGCATGTACCACAAATACATAGCATTAACCCATAACACAGACAGGAAACACACGCATGCTTCTCAGGTGGCATATGTTATGCCAAACCCACTGTTTTAACTTACCAGAAAAAGTGCTGCCTATTCTTATGTAAAACCATACTTGTTATGCCTGTCACCATACAACTTGCGACTACTATTGGGGCAGAGCAGGTATACTGTAGGTTCAAGCACAACGAAAAATTAGCACAGCTGCAGGAGGGATCAAGCGGCTTCTAACCATAAATGCCTAAAGTTATACCAGACGATGGTGTACCTCTTAATTTGGTATCTCATCCACAATCTTAGTGTATGTCTTTACAGCAGACTCTCCTCCTGCAGTTAAAAAGTAATTAAAATGCCTGAGCTTGCATGTATATCTGACGCTCTGCCGTCCCTTGGTAGTTAAACTTAATTAAGCCTATAGAAATCTGTTCGTGATGATGACCTTAGCTCCTGGTTTAACAGCAAAAATAAACTCACTGTTTTGTTTCTCACACATATGCCTAGCATAAATGCCGATTGCGACAAGTTAAGCATCAATTATCTTGCTGTATATCATTTAACTTCACGCTAACTATACAACTGTTTAACCAAGCTTACTAAAAATATAAAATTGTGCAGACTCATGCCATTGTTTATCTTGCAATACGCTGTTGTGGCGTCTGTTGATTTCTTGTACCCACCTGCACAGCAAAAATAAAGGTTTAGTAATTATCAATTTCAGCTTTTCACACCTGCTAGAGTTTCAGAGCCTAGAAGAAATGCTGAGCTGCTTTCTTACCATTGTCTTTTTTACAGGAAATGCTGGATTATCTTTGGAAGAAGAATATGAGGCAATTTATTCATAAGGTAATGTAGGTTGTGACTTGTGCCACTTTGTGGCCAGGTACAAGTTATTAATCTGTACTTCCTGTTTCTTACAGCACATTATTCATGGCTGGGCTGCTCTGGGTGATGAAATGAGTCACTACCTGTACGTATTGCAGTGTCTGAGTTTGGGCCTCCTGGAGACTCGAATGAAGAGTGCCATGGACCCCAATGATCCGGTGAGCAGCCACCAATGTATTCCTCCTCTGTCTGGCTTTCCATGTACTTGTGACTGAAATGTAGCATGTAACATGGTTCCAATTCATGGATCCCATGAGCTAGAAAGTGAAATTTAACATGATCGACAAGCAGTAATATGCTAGAAGAACCTTGCCCCAGAAAACCATCAGCATGATCATAAGACCATTTAGAACCAGTGTTATCCCTTGATATCATGACAAAAATTTCATTATATGGGTCGGTGTCTACCAGCAGTTCTGTTAGTCACCACTTGAGTGTGACATTTTACCCCCTGTGTGACAGATGGGTTGGATTATAATCTCTCCGCAAAGAGAAGGTTTTATATTGTGTTACCCAATTAATGAGCCCAGCTATTTTATTCCACACACACAATAAATCAAATCATCCTCTCCCACAGATCCAAAGGCAGCATCTTCAGTCATTGCGACTTGCAGCTTTTCCAAGCGAAGGTGAAGATGGTGCACACCTGACCTCTGATCGACGGCGCTCACTCTGTGCTAAGGAGTTTCGCAAACTTGGTTTCAATGTAATAACTGCCACCTCTTAATACTATAAGAAACCTGTCCTGTCTCCTTGCAGGTTATTCAGTATAAACTAGGGCAGCACCCATGGTGGAGATAAAAGAATTAAAAAATGTGGAGTGAGACAGGTCTGTATCCATACATTCAAAAATGTAAAGATGATGTGCCTAGCGATGTACTAAATATGCACAGACATCTCCAAAGATTTTAAAATGGCAAACAACCCAACATTATCATCTTCACAACACAGCAATATCTAAAAAAGCTAATCTGACACAAGATAGATAAAAATATGAGCTAAAAGCCAAGTAGTCATTTAGCTGCACACATCTCCATCAGGGCTTTGGTGTAGTATTTAAAGGAATTTGGTAAAGGAAGACCATGGAAGCTGGACTAGATAAGAAACATCAAAGCAAGAAGTGTCTGAGCAAGATCCAGCATAATGGTTAAATTGATTAAATCTATGTGTGGAGACAGAATAATTGGCTTTTTCCTACAGAACAATGGAAGCCCATGGCAGGACCTGTGTCTCACCCCACCTGGACTCTTAGCTCTTGATAACATGGTGTATTTCTCAACTCGCTGGCCTAGTGCCTACAGCAGGGTAAGTCCAACCAACATGATGTGTACCAGCTGGAAGATGTGGCTTTATTTATTGTAATTGTTATAACTTCAGTGATCAGATTTTGCCCCACATTCTGTCCCTTACCAAGTAGTAGGAGTTCCCATTATATAGCATTGAATAGCTGCTATCTTTTGGTAAATAAGAGTTGTGTTACCTAGTGCTAGCTACTTTTTGTAGATACCTCTAATTGGCAGCTCTAACCCCAAGATAAAGAAATACTGAGAGGGACAAGGTATATGCTCACTGCAAGTGGCATTAATGACCACTACGAGTGTTGGACTCCCTAACTTTTGGGGATTTACCAGACAAAAGCACTAATAATTGCTCTAAGAATGACATGGATCCTGGACAGGACAAGTTACTGGACAGACATGTTGGCACTGTAGGAATGGCTTGGTAGCAGACAGGAAGTTACTGGAAAGACTTGGTAGCGCTATAGGAATGGCTTGGATCCTGGATAGATAGTTGAGAACCGAGTAACTTCCGGTCCAGGAAGCCATTACAGAGTAAATATATAGTTCATAATCTTGTTATTCAGTATTTCACGTAAGTTAATTGAATCCTCTTAACATATTAAGTGAATACATAGTTAAAAACACTCACACAAACAAATAATTCTGGTAAATGTCGAACTGAATTTTGGAAGCTTGAATTGGTCAGGCGGCATTACCCTGAAGCGGAGAATATATTTATAATAAATATATATATATATATACACACACATATACATATACACACACATATACACAAATCCTGTTTTGATCCAAATTTTGCAGATTTCAGTTTACAAATTATTATATAGACCCCTAAGAGTGTCAGACTTCCAGTAATGTGTATTAATTGTAGGGTACATTGTTTTCATTAGTTTGTTCTGGAGAACATCAGCCGGGAAGATCAGCACGCCTGTCCCTTTGCACGAAGCAGCATCTACCTCAGCTTGATCCTTTGTGACATTCTTAGAGTTGGAGAGCCAGGTACATTTGTTTATTGGCAGTACTGACATCAAATTTATACAGTCAGTAAACTCCTTCTCTGTGGCTGTGAGATAATGGAGTCAGGAACTGTGCTAAACTCAATTATCTCCAGGGATAGAAAAACGAACAATATTACACCACCACAAAAGTACCCACAAAATACATGGGAACCCCACGAAAGTTACATCCCTGAATAACCTGGATCTGGGTGAACAATATATTAAAAAAAAAAAAAAATCACCCAGATCAGTCATCGCAGGGAAGTTTTGACTGGTCTGCCAAGAGGAAGAAGCCAAAAATGTACACAGACAAGCAGTTCCCTATATGCTCAAAAACACAGATAAGCCCTTTATGGAAAAAAGTGTTCCTGTAGCGTTACTTACCTTAACCGGGGGCCGGTCGCGGTCCTCTCTTCAAGCCGCGCGCGGTCCTGCGGCTGCACGAGCCGCGCGCGGCTCATCCGACTGCTTCTGCGGTCACGTGTCCCGCCTGAAACTAAGAGCGCGCCGCGAGTCTCGGGCGCGCTCTTAAAGAGACAGTGGGAGCCTAATTGCCAAAAGGCTCCCATTGGCTCCTGTCATACCACACTCCCTATACAATTACCTATAGGGGGTGTGGAAGTGACAGGAGCCAATCACTTTGGTTTAAAAGCTATTTAACTTACCTTTTTCCCTTAGCTCGTTGCCCTATCGTGGTTTCTGTTTCAGTTCCCTTTAGCGCTTGTGGTGTTCAGTTGTGTTTTCTCGTATTGACTTTGGCTTCGTATTCTGACTTCGTTTTCGCTTTATCCTTATCTGTACTGTTTGCCGGCTTGCTGTTTTCCGTGTACCAGACCCCGGCTTGTCCTAGTTTACGCTGTCTCTCTGTGCCCTTGACCTCGGTTTGTTTCTGGCTCTGTCTCCTCTCATATACGTCGAGTCCGGCCATTCTAAGGTCCGGTAGACGTATCTCTCCTCTGTATTTGCCTCTGTTTAGCTGGATCCTGCGTGTAGGGGTATATTCTCGTTACATTACGATAGGGCCATGGACCCCGCAGATTTAGCTCAACAGATGGCGTCCCATGAGGCAAGATTTGTAGAGCAGGATCACCGTATGGATCAGATAGCTCAGGCTCTCCAGACGCTCCTAGCTAGAACCGTTCCAGCAACCACACCTAACCCTCCTACGCCCCTTCTCCCTGAAGTATCTACTTTGCCTAATACTTCGGCCCATTTAACACCTCCTCCTAGGTATGGAGGGGACTCTAAGACTTGCAGAGGGTTTATTAATCAAATTGAATTCCACTTCGAAATGTATCCACGTTCATTTCCCACAGAGAGGTCTAAGGTTGGGTTCTTTATGCACCAACTTACCGATAAGGCACTTGAGTGGGCAAATCCTATTTGGGAAGCTAATGGACCTATGGTACATGATTTCAACAGTTTTCTTACGGCTTTTCGTAGAACTTTTGACACAATGAAAAGGTCAAAGAATGCCGCGAGAGCATTAATGAGAATTAAACAGGGTTCTAGGTCTGTGGCTGATTATGCTATTCAGTTTCGCACTCTTGCTTCGCAGGTAGATTGGACCAACAATGGGTTAACTACTGCCTTTATGGAAGGTTTGTCAGATACGATATTGGATGAGGTAGCTGCTAAGGAGCTTCCTATTGCCTTAGAGGACCTTATCGATTACCTCATTGATATAGATAATAGAATTCGTGACAGGCTCTATACCAAGAACAGGAATAGACGTTTTGTTACACCCATTAACCCCAGAGTTAATATACCAGAGAGTGTTAAAGTGTCTGAGGAGGAACCTATGCAATTAGGGGTTGCCAAACTCTCTGATACTGAGAAATTACATAGGAGAAGGGAGGGACTCTGCCTATACTGTGGTAGGAGAGACCATATGGTAAAGGAATGTCCTTTACTCCCGGAAAACTCTTGCACCTAAGACCTTATAGGGGACTGGCCTTGGGTGTGATATCTAAGTCTCCTAAATTGCCTCCTAACCGCTTGCTTCTCCCGGTTTCTTTATATATGGGAAAGATTTGTATAGTTGACAACATATATGCTCTGGTTGACTCTGGGGCAGCTGAAAATTTTATAGACTCTGGCTTTATAAAGAGAAACAACATTCCCATCAGAGAGAAGGAGATACCCTTGGCCGTTGAGGCCATAGATGGTAGACCATTAAGTTCTCCAGTTGTTACTCATGAGACTGTACCATTACACATGTACACAGGGGTTTTACACTATGAAACCATTCGATTCCAGGTCATCACCTCTCCCTCTTCACAGTTAGTATTAGGGTATCCATGGTTACGTGCTCACAATCCCATTTTTGACTGGGAGACAGGGCAAATAAAATCATGGAGTGAGGCCTGCCACGAGTCTTGTACGTTGGAAGTCACACCTTTAAATTCTATTGAGGTACCTACCAGTCCTCCTTTGTCTACGGTTATACCCCCTCAGTATTTATCTCTAAAGACTGTTTTCGATAAAAGGGAGGCTGAGAAATTACCGCCTCACAGACCCTATGATTGCGCTATTGACTTGTTGCCTGGCACTATACCTCCAAAAGGCAGGGTGTACCCCTTATCGGTTCAAGAAAACCGTGTCATGGAGGAGTATATTAAGGAATCACTAGAAAAGGGGTTTATTAGGAGATCCTCTTCTCCAGCTGGAGCAGGGTTCTTCTTTGTATCGAAGAAAGAAGGTGATTTAAGACCGTGTATAGATTATAGAGGTCTAAACAAAATCACTATCAAAAATGCATACCCTATACCTTTAATTACAGAATTATTTGACAGGCTGAAACATGCCACTGTGTTCACTAAATTAGACCTTAGGAGTGCATACAATTTGATACGTATAAAGGAAAATCACGAATGGAAGACTGCATTCAACACTAGATCCGGTCATTACGAATATACTGTTATGCCATTTGGGCTTTGCAATGCCCCAGCAGTATTCCAAGAATTTATTAATGATGTCTTAAGAGATTTTATTCACACATTTGTTATCGTATACTTGGACGACATTTTAATATATTCTACAGATATACACACTCATCACAGACATGTTACGACAGTTTTGAAGACCCTTCTTGCTAATGGTCTTTATTGCAAGCTAGAAAAGTGTCTGTTTGACCAAACCGAAGTCCAGTTCTTGGGGTATTTGATTTCCGCTAAAGGTTTTCGTATGGATCCCCAGAAGCTTGCTGCTGTAATAGAATGGCCTCTACCGCAAGGTCTGAAAGCTATTCAGCGTTTTCTTGGGTTCTCCAATTATTATAGACGTTTTATCAAAGGTTTCTCGTCCATTGTAGCACCTATTACCCGTATGACTAAAAAGGATGGCAATACTCGTGTTTGGTCTACCGAGGCACTTCAGGCTTTTGAATTTCTTAAAACTACGTTCGCCTCTGCACCTATTTTACAGCATCCTGTCCCCTCACTGCCCTATATTCTTGAGGTTGATGCTTCGGATATTGGGGTAGGTGCTGTCTTATCCCAAAGAGAGTCGCCTGAAAAGCCATTGCATCCATGCGGCTTCTTTTCTAAACAAATGTCCAAAGCAGAGAAAAATTATGATGTGGGTAATCGCGAACTCCTTGCTATTATTTTAGCACTTAAAGAGTGGAGACATTTGTTAGAAGGAACTAAGGATCCTATCCTCATTTTTACGGATCACAAGAACCTATCCTACCTTAGCGAAGCCAAAAGATTGTCTTCCAGGCAGGCTAGGTGGTCACTATTTTTGTCCCGTTTCAATTTTATTATCACCTATAGGCCAGGTGATCGCAACACTAAAGCAGACGCTCTGTCCAGACAGTTCGAAACTACTGACAAACAGGAGATTGATGTTACTCCTGTCATTCTCCCAGACAGGATAATAGCTACTACTATTTTGTCTATTTCCTCGTCCCTCTTGCAGGCCATACAAGCGAAACAAAGCATGGCACCTAGCGAGAGGCCTAATGATAAACTGTTCGTTGATGTTCCTGAGAGACGGGATATTATGTCATTATATCATGATACTAAGACTGCTGGACATCCTGGTATTTCCAAAACGGTGTCAGCTGTTTCTCTGTATTTTTGGTGGAATTCCTTACGAAAGGATGTCACTGACTATATAAGTGCTTGTACTACTTGTGCCTGTATGAAATCCTCCCGTAGAGTTCCTTGTGGGCTGTTGCATCCGTTACCCGTTCCCGAGAGACCTTGGTCTAACCTGTCCATGGATTTTATTGTTGAATTACCCCCTTCAAATGGTAACACAGTAATCCTGATGATAGTGGATCGGTTCTCCAAAATGGCTCACTTCGTGTCTCTTCACAAGTTGCCCACATCCAAGGAACTGGCTCATATCTTCGCTAGAGAAGTATTTCGATTACATGGGATTCCCGTATCTATTGTATCCGATAGGGGTAGCCAATTTATTTCCAGGTTCTGGAGGGCCTTTTGTTCAGAAATGGGTATTTCTCTCTCATTTTCTTCCGCTTATCATCCCCAGTCTAATGGGGCTGCTGAACGTGCCAACCAGTCTCTGGAGCAATACCTCCGTTGTTTTGTGTCTCACCATCAGGACAATTGGTCTGACCTGCTTCCTTGGGCTGAATTTGCTCGGAATAACGCCACTCATGATTCTTCCGGCAAGAGCCCTTTTTACGTTGTCTATGGCCAGCATCCCGTTGTTCTTCCGGCTGCATTCTCCTCACAGGGCATGCCAGTTCTGGATGAGCATTTGGCTGGTTTGCGTAATACTTGGGAGCAGGTTCAGCGTTCTTTGGTGGACTCTGCTACTCGCCAGAAGGCTCAGGCTGACAAGCATCGCAGAGCAGCTCCGTCCTATGTTGTGGGGGACAGGGTTTTGCTTTCCGCGCGGAATATTCGTCTCCGGGTGCCTTCTATGAAATTGGCTCCCCGCTTCATTGGACCTTATCGTATTATACATAAGGTTAATCCTGTTTCTTATGCCTTAGGCCTGCCTAAGAATCTACGTATTCCTAATGTTTTTCACACCTCATTGTTGAAACCTTTCGTACGCAACCGCTATACCCGGCATACTCCTCCTCCCCCTCCTATCTCGGTGGAGGGTCATGAGGAGTTTGAAGTGTCTGCTGTTCTTGACTCTCGTTTCCTTAGGGGTCGACTTCAGTACTTGGTACATTGGAAGGGTTATGGGCCTGGGGAGCACAGTTGGATTTCGGCTGATGCTGTCCATGCTCCCCGTCTTGTGCGCTCTTTCCATTCTCGTTTTCCTGCCAGGCCTGGTCCTACCCGCCCGGGGGGCATGTCCTCAGGGGGGGTACTGTAGCGTTACTTACCTTAACCGGGGGCCGGTCGCGGTCCTCTCTTCAAGCCGCACGCGGTCCTGCGGCTGCACGAGCCGCGCGCGGCTCATCCGACTGCTTTAGATGGAAGGCGGGCAGTGACCGCGTGAAGCGGTCACGTGTCCCGCCTGAAACTAAGAGCGCGCCGCGAGTCTCGGGCGCGCTCTTAAAGAGACAGTGGGAGCCTAATTGCCAAAAGGCTCCCATTGGCTCCTGTCATACCACACTCCCTATACAATTACCTATAGGGGGTGTGGAAGTGACAGGAGCCAATCACTTTGGTTTAAAAGCTATTTAACTTACCTTTTTCCCTTAGCTCGTTGCCCTATCGTGGTTTCTGTTTCAGTTCCCTTTAGCGCTTGTGGTGTTCAGTTGTGTTTTCTCGTATTGACTTTGGCTTCGTATTCTGACTTCGTTTTCGCTTTATCCTTATCTGTACTGTTTGCCGGCTTGCTGTTTTCCGTGTACCAGACCCCGGCTTGTCCTAGTTTACGCTGTCTCTCTGTGCCCTTGACCTCGGTTTGTTTCTGGCTCTGTCTCCTCTCATATACGTCGAGTCCGGCCATTCTAAGGTCCGGTAGACGTATCTCTCCTCTGTATTTGCCTCTGTTTAGCTGGATCCTGCGTGCAGGGGTATATTCTCGTTACAGTTCCCTGATAGACACTCAGAAAAAAGTAAAAACCAAA